TGGCTCGTCTATAGGAAAGCCACCCACACGGATGATGCCTATCTAAAGCCTGACTCCCACCACCATCCAGCCCAGAAGAATTCCCTCATTGTATCTCCGACCAGCATCACCTAGCCAGTGAACTGGAGCACGTACACCAAGCCCTCAGGATGAACAGATACTCGGATCATACAATCTGTAAAGCTGTCTCCGCAGCCATGTGGAGACAACCTTCTGAGGATCCAACCAAAACCATCACTTTACCATACATAGCAGGTGTTACCAAAAAGATTTCCAAAATCTTAAAAAACACAAGATCCAGATTCGTTTCAACACAGTACACAAAATCCGTGATATAATCCCACCTGTAAAGGATGTGATTCTTGATATGCAATACCCTGGTGTCTACAAACTGAGTTGTGGCTGCTGCAGCAGTTACATTTGGGAAACGAAGCGACATGTCTCGGACCGCGTTTGTGAACACAAGGCAGATCTGAAACACGGGTAGGACCAATACCTCGGCTGTTGCTGATCATTGTTTTAACGCTGTGGGCTTACACGTAATTGACTTTTCCAAGGCTGAGGTACTCTGCAAACCTCCCGGCTACCTTCAGAGATTTGTTCATGAAGCCATCCAGATGTATAAACACAGACAACACAACTTCAATCGAGATGGGTGCAAACTGAGCAATCATTGGAAGGACGTTATTAACCAGGTAAAGTCTTAACTGTCTCTGATGTTTCCATCCTACCTGCGTATGTCAGCTGTTATTTCCAACTCTCAGTGTCTCTCTCTCTATGCCTCTCAGATCTCTCACATGTCATTTGCATTGCACTCTCATGCTCACATGTCCTTTGGAGTGTACTCTCATGCTCACATGCCCTACAGTCCATCTCTCACAATCGCAGGACGTTGTTAACCAGGTAAAGTCATAACTCGCTGTGATGCTTTCATCCTTCCTGCCGTTTGGCTGTAATCTTCGACTCTGAGTTGCATTGCCCTGTTTGATGCCTTTGCATTAACGGGCTGGGGTCTCACTAACATGGCCACTTCTGCTCCATTAGCCTCGATGTATCGTTGGTTCTTACTGTGTTATGGGCTGTGTGTCTCACTGGCATGGCCACTGTTGCATTGACGCTCTTGCCTCGTGGAGGCCACTCTTCGATCCTACATTAACATGCTAATCTCTCACATCAAAATAGCCACTTCCGTGCCCTCGTTGAGGAGGCCGCTCTCCGATCGTACATTTACATGCTAATTTATAACATTAACATCACTAGCCCCGCCCACTTCTTTATGACCCTTGGGCTACACCCATTTAAAAACTTTTAAAACAGTCTGCCTCAGCAGCAGACCATGCTTTCTCACCTGATGACGGACGCTTGTGTTGCGCCCGAAACGTCGTGATTTGTTTTATTTTATATCTACGTGACTTTACCAAAAGAACCAAAGAGTATGGATTCCTGCGGTCACGAAAGTTTCAAATCAATACCTCACCATATCCCTGAGCCCTAACCTCTAACCGATAAGCTCTAACGCTAACCCTAAACTTTAAACCGAAACCTTAACCTTGACACTAACTCATAACCCTAAGGGCAGTGTTGAGTCTATTGGCAGTTTTTAGTCATGAGCGGGTGGTTCAGTGAATGAGGGGCTGTTTGAGTGGAAGAGTGAATGGGTGGGTGAGGGGGTGAGTGGGTGAGTGATATCTGTTCTCCAGGTGATTATCAAGATGCATCAGGTGACACTTTGTGGCTTTTTCCTATTTGCCAATTCCTGTGTGGTGATTCTATTGACTCTCCTCACAGAGAGACTAATAGACTCATCACATAGAGACCCATAGACTGACCACACAGATTATCCACAGAGACCCATGGATTCATCACACAGATACCAAGAGTCTCACCACAAGGTACCCATAGACTCACACAGAGACCCATAGACTCGTGACAAATAGACCCATAGACTCATGACAAATAGACCCATATACTCACCACACAGAGACCCATCTACTGACCACATACAGTGAGGGAAAAAAGTATTTTATCCCCTGCGGATTTTGTACGTTTGCCCACTGACTAAGAAATGATCAGTCTATAATTTTAATGGTAGGTTTATTTGAACAGTGAGAGACAGAATAACAACAACAATTCCAGAAAAACGCATGTCAAAAATTTTGTATATTGATTTGCCTTTTAATGAGGGAAATAAGTATTTCACCCCTCTGCAAAACATGACTAAGTACGTGGTGGCAAAACCCTTGTTGGAAATCACAGAGGTCAGACGTTTCTTGTAGTTGGCCACCAGGTTTGCACACATCTCAGGAGGGATTTTGCCCCACTCCCCTTTGCAGATCTTCTCCAAGTTATTCAGGTTTCGAGGCTGACGTTTGGCAACTCGAACCTCCAGCTCCCTCCACAGATTTTCTATGGGATTAAGGTCTGGAGACTGGCTAGGCCACTCCAGGACCTTAATGTGCATCTTCTTGAGCCACTCCTTTGTTGCCTTGGCCGTGTGTTTTGGGTCATTGTCATGCTGGAATACCCATCCACGACCCATTTTCAATGCTCTGGCTGAGGAAAGGAGGTTCTCACTCAATATTTGACGGTACATGGCCCCGTCCATCGTCCCTTTGATACGGTGAAGTTGTCCTGTCCTCTTAGCAGAAAAAACACCCCCAAAGCATAATGTTTCCACCTCCATGCTTGACGGTGGGGATGGTGTTCTTGGGGTGATAGGCAGCATTCCTCCTCCTCCTCCAAACACGGCGAGTTGAGTTGATGCCAAAGAGCTCCATTTTGGTCTCATCTGACCACAACACTTTCACCCAGTTGTCCTCTGAATCATTCAGATGTTCATTGGCAAACTTCAGACGGGCATGTATATGTGCTTTCTTGAGCAGGGGGACCTTGCGGGCGCTGCCGGATTTCAGTCCTTCACGGCGTAGTGTGTTACCAATTGTTTTCTTGGTGACTATGGTCCCAGCTGCCTTGAGATCATTGACAAGATCCTCCCGTGTAGTTCTGGGCTGATTCCTCACTGTTCTCATGATCATTGCAACTCCACGAGGTGAGATCTTGCATGGAGCCCCAGGCCGAGGGAGATTGACAGTTCTTTTGTGTTTCTTCCATTTGCGAATAATCGCACCAACTGTTGTCACCTTCTCACCAAGCTGCTTGGCAATGGTCTTGTAGCCCATTCCAGCCTTGTGTAGGTCTACAATCTTGTCCCTGATATCCTTGGAGAGCTCTTTGTTCTTGGCCATGGTGGAGAGTTTGGAATCTGATTGATTGATTGCTTCTGTGGACCGGTGTCTTTTATACAGGTAACAAGCTGAGATTAGGAGCACTCCCTTTAAGAGTGTGCTCCTAATCTCGGCTCATTACCTGTATAAAAAACACCTGGGAGCCATACGTCTTTCTGATTGAGAGGGGGTAAAATACTTATTTCCCTCATTAAAATGCAAATCAATTTATAACATTTTTTGACATGCGTTTTTCTGGGTTTTTTTGTTGTTATTCTGTCTCTCACTGTTCAAATAAACCTAACATTAAAATTATAGACTGATCATTTCTTTGTCAGTGGACAAACGTACAAAATCAGCAGGGGATCAAATACTTTTTTTCCCTCACTGTAGATTCTCCAAAGAGTTCCATGGATTCTTCACACAGAGACCAATAGTCTCACCACACAGAGACCCATAAACTCACACAGAGACCCATAGACGCATTAAAATATACTCATATACTCACATAAACACCTATACTACTCAGTACTTGTGCTGACACGCCTGCTAGAGGCTACCAGGGTGGGAATACACTGCGTGTTTGGCTCTCGGGTTCATTCGGGTTATCTGCTCAGACGTCCAAGAGCTGAGCTCTGTCAATCAATAACGTACGTTCATTAATTTCAGAGCTTTTTTGACCTCGGAGTCATCTTGATCTACTGAGCTGTTTGTCCACGCAAATAAACAGAGGGGTGGGGGAGACAATGATGGTCCGTCCATCACCACCATCATCATCGCCAGACGTTTGGGCCCATAGTGACTGACACAGAGTGAACTGTGAGAACCTGAGTTTGAGTCCTGCGTCTTGTTCTCTCTCTCCGTGTTTCAGTGTCTCGCTCTCTCTGCCCCTCTTTCTCGGTGGGTCGCAATGGCCGTGTCGGGTTCATAATGGCCGTGTCACTGTATGTCTCTTCTACGTGTGGTTTCATAATGGTAGTGCTGGGTCCATGGTGCAGTACTTAGTCGATGGTCAATGTTGAGTCGTTGGGCAGTTCTGAGTTTATGGGCAGTGTTGAGTCATAGGTGAGTAGGTGAGTCAGAAAGTGAGTCAGTAAGTGAATTGGCGAGTGTTGGGGTAAGTTAGTGGGCAGGTGAATGAGTATGTAAGTGAGTGGGTGATTGGGCGAGTGAGAGGGTGGGCGAGTGGGTGGGTGAGTCGGTGGGTGAGTTGGTGGGTGAGTTGGTGGGTGAGTGGGTGAGTGATCTCTGTGTGCCCAGGTGATTATCAAGATGCATCATGTGACACTTTATAGCCTGCTCCTATTGGTAAATTCCTAGTCCCCTGTATTGTTGTGGTGAGTTCATAAACTCACCACAAAGAGACCCATAGACTCAACACACAGAGACCCATAGACTCAACAAAAGAGAGACCCATTGAGTCATCACCACTCAGAGACCCATAGACTCAAAACAGCGAGACCCATAGACTCACGCACAGACTCACCACGCAGAGACCCATAGACTCACTAAGACACCCACACGACTCAGTCCTCAACACTTGCACAAACATCTTGCCAGAGGCTACCTGGGTGAGCAATACGCTGAGTGTTTGGCTCTCGGGTTTATTTGGTTTATCTGCTCAGACAACCAAGAGCCGAGCTCCGTCAATCATTAATTCATCGGAGATGTTTGTTGACCTCGAGGTCATCTTGCTCTCTTTTTATCGACACCAATCAGAGAGAGAGAGGCGGGGTGGGGGTGGGGGAGACAGAGATGGTCGGGGCTATAAAGATAGATCGTCGCATTCTCCATCCATCATCATCACCAGACGTCTGGATCCACAGTGACTGCCACACAGTGAACTGTGAGAGCCTGGATTCGAGTCCTACATCTGGGTCTCTCTCTCCGTGTTTCAGTGTCTCGCTCTCTCTCGCCCTCTCTCTCGGTGGGTTCATAATGGTCGTGTAGGGTTCGTAATGGCCGTGTCACTGTATCTATATTTCTATCTAACTATCTGTGATCTCATTATGGCAGTGCTGAGTCTATGGGGCAGTGCTGGAGTCGATGGTGCAGTGTTGAGTCTATAGACAGTGTTGAGTCCATGGGCATTGATGAGTCTATGGGCAGTGTTGATTCATGGGTGAGTAGGTCGGTGGGTGAGTGGGTGGGTATAGGGGTGAGTAGGTGAGTGGGTGATTTAGTGAGTTGGTGGGTGGGTGAAACCGTGTGTGGGTGGCTGAGTGGGTGGATAAGTGGGTGGGTAGGTGATTGGACGAGTGAGTTGGTAGGTGGGTGAGTGGGTCGGTGAATGGGTAAGTAGATGGGTGGTTGAGTGGGTGGGTCGGTTAGTGGATGTGTGTGTGTGTGTAAGTGGGTGAGTGGCTAGCTGGGTGGGTGGCTGGATGAGTGAGGGGATGAGTGCGTTGGCAAGTGAGCATGTGAGTTTCATAGAGTGCTTGCATTGGTGGCTGAGTGAGTGAGTTGGTGGGTGGATGAGTGGGTGGGTCAGTGGGTGGATAAGTGGGTGGGTCGGTGATTGGATGAGTGAGTTGGTGGGTGGGTGAGTGGATAAGTAGATCGGTGGGTGAGTGGTTCGGTAAGTGGGTGGGTGAGTGGGTGAGTGAGTGGGTGGGTAAGTGTGTGATTGAGAGGGTGGGTCAGTGGGTGAGTCGGTGGGTAAGAGGGTGGGTGAGTGGGTTGGTGAATCGATAAGTGGGTGGGTGAGTAAGTGGGTGGTTGGTTAGGGGGAGTGGGTGGGTGGGTGAGTGAGTGTGTGGGTGCTCGCTAACAGCACTTGCTCCGACAGTCTGTTAAGGCTATACGGGGGATCTTTGCGTGGGTGGCTCGATGAGTGGGTGAGTGAATGATTTGGTGAGTGCGTGGGCGAGTGAGTGGGTGGTTGAGTGGATGGGGGAGTGGTGAGTTGGTGGGAGGGTGGTTGAGAGAGTGAATGGGTGGGTGGGTGAGTGAGTGGGTACATGGCTGGAGGAGTGGATGAGTGAGTGAATGGGTGGGTGAGTGCGTGGGCGAGTGAGTGGGTGAGTTGGTGGGTGAGTTGGTGGGTGAGTGCGTGGGTGAGTGGGTAGGTAAGCGGGTGGGTCTGAAGAGGGTGGATCAGTGGGGGTAGTGAATCGTTGGGTAAGAGGGTGGATGGGTGAGTAAGTGGGTCGGTAAGTTGGTAGGTGAGTAGGTGGTTGGGATGGGGAGTGGTTGAGTAGGTGGGTGAGTGGGAGAGCTGGTGGGCCAGTGAGTGGGTGAGTGGGTGGGTAAGTGAGTGGTGAGTTGGTGGGAGAGTGGTTGAGCGAGTGAGTGGGTTGGTGGGTGTGTGAGTGGGTGGGTGAGTGAGTGAGTGGGTGAGTAGGTGCGTGAGTAAGGGGGTGGTTGAGTGAGTGTGTGGTTGGGTGAGTGGGTGGTTGAGTAGGTGGGTAAGTAGGGTGGGTAAGTGGGTGAGTGGGTGGTTGGGTAGGGGGTGGTGGGTGAGTGAGTGGGTGGCTCGATGAGCGGGTTAGTGAATGCTTTGGTGAGTGCGTGGGCGAGTGAGTGGGTGGATGAGCGGGTGGGGGAGTAGTGAATTGGTGGGAGGATGGTTGAGAAAGTGAGTGGGTGGGTGGGTGAGTGAGTTGGTGCGTGGTTGGATGAGTGGATGGGTGAGTGAATGGGTGAGTGAATGAGTGGGTGAGTGCGTGAGCGAGTGAGTGGGCGAGTGGGTGGGTGAGTGGGTGGATGAATGAGCGGGTATGTAGTGAGTTGGGGGGGGGGGGGGTGGCGAATGAGTGGGTGGGTGGGTGAGTGGTTGCGTGAGTTAGTGTGTCAGTGAGTGGGCGAGTGAGTGGGTGAATAGGTCGGTGGGTGAGTGAGTGGGTGGTTGGATGAGTGTGTGGGTGAGTTGGTGGGAAAGCGGGTGAGTTGGTGAGAGGGTGGGTCAGTGGGTGAGTGAGTCGTTGGGTAGAGGGTGGATGGGTGAGTGGGTGGGTGGGTGGGTGAGTGGGGGAGATGGTGGGCCAGTGAGTGGGTGAGTGGGTGGGTCAGTGAGTGGGTGAGTGGTAAGTTGGTGGGAGGGTGGTTGAGCGAGTGAGTGGGTGGGTTGGTGAGTGCGTAGGTGGGTGTGTGAGCGGGTGAGCGAGTGAGTGAGGGAGTAGTTGCGTGAGTGAGTTTGTGGTTGGGTGAGTGGTTGTTTGAGCAGGTGGGTAAGTGGGTCGGTAAGTGGGTGAGTGGGTGGTTGGGTAGGGGGAGTGGGTTGGTGGGTGAGTTGGTGAGTGGGTGGGTGAGTGGGTTGGTGAGTTAGTGGGTGATTGAGTAGGTGAGTGAGTCGGTAAGTGAGTGGGTGGATGAGTAAGTGGGTGGTTGGCTTGGTCAGTTAGGGAGTGCGTGGGTTATTGGGTGAGTGGATGCATTGGTGAGTGAGTGCGTGAGTTGGTGTGTGAGTAGGTGAGTGAGTGCGTGGGTGATTGAGTGGTTGAAGGGGTTAGTGAGTGAATTAATGATTGGGTCAATGGGTGAGATAATTAGTGTGTGAGTGCATGGGTGATTGGTTTGGAGAGATGGTTGGTGAGTTAGTGGGTGACTGGTTGGGTAATTGAGTGGGTAAGTGGTTGAGTTGTTGGCAGTGCCGGATTATCCTAGTAGCAAAGTAGCATATGCTACGGGCCCCGCACTTTCAAGGGCCCCGCGCTAAATACTTTCAAGTTATCAATTCCGGTTGAGTGATTCTGCACTTGCTCTATTACTATAATACTATACTGCCTTCAACCTTTATGAACGACTGGATGTTTAGGGTTAGGGATTTGTCGTATTATCTGGCTTTATAGCAAATGACAAAGTACAATTACTTTACTATGCAAGTAAAAAAATTGTGTTTAAATATTCACGTGTTTTTTTGATTTCGGTACCCTTTATAACATATGCTCCAGGCAACACACTAGCTTAATCCGGCACTGGTTGTGGGGTGGGTGGTTGGGCGAGTGAGTGGGTGGGTAAGTGAGTTTGTGATTGGGTGGGCAAGTAAGTGAGTGAGTGAGTGGATGAGAGGGTGGTTGAGTTGGTTGTTGAATAAGTGAGTGAGCTCTGTGTCCCCAGGTGAATATAAAGATGCATCACGTTACACTTTGTGGCCTCCTCCTGTTGGTCACTTCCTGGCCCTGCGTCTTTGCTACGATTGGTGAGTTCATAGACTCAGCACAAACAGCACCTTAGACTCACCACAAAGATACCCATCGGCTCAAAACACAAGGACCATCGACTCAAAACAAAGTTAACTATTGACTCACCGCACAGAGTCCCATTGACACACCGCACAGACACACCACACAGAGTCTCATAGACTTACGACACAGATACCCATAGACCGGCCACATAGAAACTCAGAGACTCAAAACACAGAGATTCATGGAACCACACAGAGACCTATAGACTGAGCACAGAGATAACCATAGACTCACACAAATACTCAGACTCACCATTTAGAGACCCATAGAATCACCAAACAGAGACCCATAGACTCATCACAGAAAGATCCCTAGACTTACCACACAGCGATCCAAAGACTCACAACGTAGAGATCCATAGATTCACCACACACAGACCCATAGACTTACCACAGAGAGACCCATAGATTCACTAAACAGATACCCATAGACTCACTAAACAAAGTCCCATAGAATCACAACACAGAGACCCATACACTTACTACACAGTGATCCATATAATCGCTAAACTGAGACCCATAGACTCAGTAAACAGAGATCCAGAGACTCACCACATAGAGACTCTGAAACTCACCAATATAACGCCATTGACTCACCACACATACTCACCACACAGACATTTAGCCTCACAACACAGACTCACCAAACAGAGACCCACAGACTTACTTCAAAGGGACTCATAGACTCACAACACAAAGACCCATCCACTCAAAACAAAGCAAACCAATGACTCACCGCACAGACACCCATAGACTCACCACATAGATACCTATGGACTCACCCACATACACGTATCTCACCGAACCCCATAGACTAACCACACAGAGACCCATTGACTCACTACACAGAGACCTATATACTTACCACACACACACCCATACACTCACCACACATATTCCCATAGACTCACACATATAAACTTACCACACAGAGGGCCATCGACTCACCACACAGTTACCCAAGGACTCACTGCACAGAGACGTATAGACTTATCATACAGAGATCCATAGACTCACCACACAGATACCCATAGACTCACACAGAGACCGACAGATCCAGCACACAGAGACCCATAGACTCACCACACAGACACAGATAGATCAACCACATACACTCAGAGAATCACAACACAGAGACCGATAGACTCAGCACACAGAGATATATCGGCTCACTACACGGAGACCCATAGACTCTCCACACCAATACCCATAGACTTACCACATAGAGACCCTTATACTCATCACAAAGACCCGCAGACTCACCACGCAGAGAACCATAGACATACAAAGAGGCCCATTGACTCACCACACATAGATCCATAGAATCACCACAAAGATACCCATAGACACACCACTTAGAGACCCACAGACATACCCAGAGACCCAGAGACTTACCACACAGAGACCCATAGACTCACCACACAGGCATCCATATAATCACCACAAGAAACACAGAGACTCACACAGAGATCCACAGATTAAGCACGAAGAGACTCATAGACTCACATACATGAACTAACCACACAGAGATATATAGACTCACCATACAGAAACCTCTTTACTCACCACACAGAGACGCATAGACCCACCACACAGAGGCTCATTAAATAACCAGCAAAGACTCATAGATTCACACATAGGCGAATAGACTCAGCACACAGAGACTCATAGACTCACACAGAGACCCATAGACTCACCAGACAGAAACCCATAAAGCCATCACGCAAAAACCCATAGACTCGTCTCAAAGAAACCCATAGACTCAACACACAAAACCATTGGCTCACCACACAGATACCCATATTCTCACCACACAAAGACCCGACGACTTTCCATATAGAGATTCATAGACTCACAAGTGTAAACTTACCACACAGAGACCCATAGAATAACCAGAAGAGACCCATAGACTCACAAAGAGACCAATAGACTCACCACACAGAGACCCATAGACTACCACGCATAAACTCACCCTACAGAGACCCATAGCCTCATCACACAATGACCAATAGACCCACACATAGACCCATAGACTCACCAAACAAATACCCATGAACTCACATAGAGACCAGATACTCACCCTCAGCTGCCCATAGACTCACTGCGCAGAGACCCATAGACTCATCACACAAAGAACCCTGGACTCACCACACAGAGCCCCATAGACTCACATCACAGAGACCCATAGACTCACCACACAAAGAACCCTGGACTCACCACACAGAGCCCCATAGACTCACATCGCAGAGACCTATGGTCTCACAACACAGACACCCGTAGACTTTCCACACCAAGACTCGTAGACTTACCACATATAAACCCTTAGACTCTTCACAAAGACCCACAGACTAACCACACAGAGACCCATAGATACTACGATGAGACCCATTGACTCACTACACATAGATATATTGAATCACCACACAGAGACCCACAGACTCAGCCATTAGAGGCTCATAGACCTACGCAGAGACCCATTGACTCACCTCTTATAGACCCATAAACACACCACGCAGAGACCCATATAGACTCACCACACAGCTACCCATAGACTCCCGACAAAGAGATGCATAGACTCACCACACACAGACCCATAGACTCCTCACACAATTATTCATAGACTCACACAGAGATTCACAGACCCACCATACTTGGACCCATAGACTCACATACAAAGGCTCACTAATCACAAAGATCCACAGACTCCTTACACAGGGACTCATAAACCTACAAAGAGACCCATTGACTCACCACATAAATCCATAGAATCACCACACAGAGACCCATCGACTCACCACGGAGAAACCCATAAACCCAAGCAGAGACCCATAGTTCCTTCGCCTCCCATTCTCACAGTGAATAAGGTGGTGTACAAGTTCAGCACGGAATATGAAGCGATTTGGAACGACAGGGGAAGTGGTGCTGCAGTGGACGTGTCGATTTGGAGACCATCCAGCCTGGAGTCCGGTAAGACTACAAACATCCCTCGATGACAACAACAAGCACAATGCGAACCAACGCGCCTTGATAATAATAGTAATGTACCCTTCGTACTCGCATTCATTTTGTGTTTTTTAACATCTTAACACCTCCGAAAGGGTAAAACCTCTTCTTATTTTTCATACTTTGATACTGGCAAAAAGGTCCCATGATGAACATGCCTTGGTAATAATAATAATGTCTGTGGGACTCCGTGGGTCTCTCGCTATCCCAGGCTTCTATCCGCTGGGAGACGTCGCGGTCACTCTGCACGAGCAACCGAAGTCCGCGAGTATTCTAGTGAGGGACTCTGGGAACTCGCTAGTACGAGCTCCCATCAGCGTCACGTGAGTCTGTGTGAGTCTGTTTGTGTCTGTGTGTGTATGTCTTTGGGTTGGCAAAACAACACCCTACCCCCATGGTGGCGCCAGATGGTAACGCTGTGGTGAGCAATGCCATTGGGGTAAGGTCAATTTAAATCGACTCGTCCCCTCCTGTCGCTCGTAGCCATCACAGTGGCAAACATAGGCTCTGGATGGGTGCGAGGGGCTGGTAATCCCTCCCCTTTCAATTTAATTACCATAATTGTTTTTACATAAAATATCGAACTGAGCATGTTCCGGAGGCCCTGGGGGGACAGGCGCCTATGACATCACCCCCTGGCCAAATCCCATTTGGCAGAACTAGGCGACTGAATCTGTACCCTCGGGGTTCCTTCAGAAATGGAAAAAAGCTACTGCAAGTGGCCACATGGAATGTTCGAAAGCACACTGCAGATGAGAGTCTGCCACTCCCTCTCGGGAACTAGACTGGTACCCCCTGGATATCTGCGGTATTCAGGAGGATCGTTGGATTGACTCTGGCAGGAGACTGCCAAATAACAGAGAGTTGCTCTTTCTCTTGACAAAATAATTAATGGGGCATAGCGGTGAAGTGTAGGAAGCTGTAAGCCCCAGACTACTGTGGGCTCACCTCCCGATCATCCGGAGGCGAGAAATGTTGGTGGTGGTTGCTTATGCCTCCAACGAAGATGAACATCAGTGGAGGGATGCAGGCAAGGCTGATAAATGAGATCCTTTTTTTGACCTGTCACAGGTGCTAGCTAAAGTGACCCCTGGGGATAGTCATCTTGTTGGGTGACTTTAATGCCTGAGTGGGTGATGATACTGGCACCTGGGCTGAAGTGAGTGGAAGCCATGAGTGAGATCAGCTCAATAATAATGGTAGTAGGCTGCTAGACATCAGAGAATAAAGAGGCTTACCACGAGCTTTACTCGACGGTTCGGAGAGCCATGTGGCATTGCAAGGATGAGTGGTGGTCGTGGGTTTCTGAGGAGATGGAGTCGCGATCACAATCACGATTTTATTCCTTAAAAAACGATTTGCAGCGCCTCACAAATCACCAATATGATAAATATATGCGGCCGGGAGTCAGAGGCATTCCCTGTTCATCTTGGGGTGCAACAGGTATACTCTTTGGTTCTATTCGTTAAAGTCACGTAGGTAAAAAATAAAACAACAAAAATCACGACGTTTCAGCCACAACACAAGTAGCCTTCTTCAGGTGAAGGAACAGAACTGTCGGGACGACAGAGCTTCAATGAACGCTGCTAAGATTCGTAGCGTCTTTTAAGCTGGGTGAGAGAAGTGAGGCACCTTGACAAAGGAGTTTACATATCAAACAGGAGAATTTAGCATTTAAATAGCTGAGGGATTAGCTTGTGACTGGTCACAGAAATAGCTATGTTAAAGTCAAAGTTTATACATCCACAGAGGCACCTAGTACATGGACGCCAAAGGGGCTGCACTACCCAACTATCATAAAGTAAACCGATGTGAAAAACTAAGTCTAAATTACATCAATATAATAAATGTACTCAATATATTCTTCAAAAATCTGAGCTATTAACAGCAACTGGGTATACACTTCGATGGTGTGAAAAGGGAATTTTAAGAGCTGCGAAAGTTTGGGGTACCACTACTTGAAAAAATATACTGTACCATTGAAAATTAGTTTAATGTTTGGTTCGATTTAGAACATCTTTCCAATGGTTGCTTAATTTGAAACCATCTTCTCGGTTGAAATTGTGTCTGTGTTTGTAAATCTGAATTGCCTCGTGAACAAATCTCTGATAAAAACCCATGGGTTTGCAAAGAACCTTGGTATCGTGTGTATGTTGTGCTGTGTATATGTTGTGCAACAGGTATGTTCTTTAGCTCCTCTATTATTTATCAGAGGATTATCCATCTGGTATAGATACAATGGGAGGTTGCTCGATGCCCAGGTGTGGTTGAGGGATGGCTCCCTATTGGTCAACCATGTTACGTATGCTGATGATCTAGTGATTGCTGCTCACTCATAGAAGATTGCTGCTCACTCAGAGAAGGAGTTTGAAGCACTGCTGCTTGACCTAAAGCATGCTACGAACAGTTGTAGACATATTATCAGCCCCTTCAAACTAAGCACCTGCTTGGGTAATTTGTGCAACCAAACACTCTACCTGCCAAACTCCCCTTTGGCGAGACAGTTGTGAAGAGAGTGGAGAGGTTCCCATACCTGACCAGTGGGATTTTTACCGGCTCTGGTTTGACAGCAAAGTTCTCACTCTGAATCAGTCGAGCTGCATTAACTTTTTATCGGCTGTGTAACGCTGTGTGGAAGTTATTTAATTGATTGAGGTTGATCGATTGACTGACGATTGATCGATCGATTGACTGACCATCTAGCCATCGTCTATGCCGTTGGCTATCCTCCTCCTCCTTACCTCCCATGTTACCCTGCAGCGAGGTGTGGAACGACAGGGGCAGTGGAGCTGACCGTGATGTCACAGTGTACCGGCTCAACCCGTTGAACGGTTTCACGTGCCTGGGCCACGTGGCCGTGGCGAGCTACAGCCAGACACCCAGCCTCAACGCATACAGGTGAGGGGTGCAGCTCGTCAATCTGTCTATACGTGTGTGTGTTGTCTGTGTATTATGTGTGTGTTGCGTGTATATTGTGTGTGGTGCATGTGTGTATGTTGTGTGTGTTATGTGTTTGTTGTCTGTGCGTTGTATGTGTGGCTGTGTGTATGTTGTGTCTTGACTTAAAGCTTTCGTGACTGCAGGAATTCATATTCTTTGGGTCTTTCGGTAAAGTCACGTAGATAGGTTAAAAGAAAATAACAAAAAAACTACAACATTTCGATCACAACACATGCGTTCGTCATCAGGAAGATGGGTTAGCTTCTAAAGGCAAACTGTTTATAAAGGTTTGAAATGGGCGTAACCCAAATGTCAGCAGCCAATGGTATTGTAAGTGGTGGGCAGCGACCGCGACGGTGGTGGGTTTTCCACCAATCAAAGGGCTGCCAAGTAAAAATTAGCATGTTAATGTAAGATCGTTGAGTGGTCTCCACGGTCAGTGCCCAGAGGTGGCTATTTTAATGTGAGAGATGAGCATGTTAATGTGAGATTGCAGAGCAGCAACCTCGAGCTCGGCAATGAAGGTGGCTGTGTTAGTATGAGAAATTTAACCTGTTGAAGTAAAATCATAGAGCCCAAAATAACAACTAACATCAGAAGGTGGTAGGATGGGAACATCTGTAAAGCTCTCACCCTAACCATTGGGAAAGAACCATCTAAGGACCCAATCAAAACCATCACCTTGCCATACATAGCAGGGGTCACCAAAAATATCTCCAAAATCATGAGCAAACACAAGATCCAGGTTAGATTTAACACACTATGTGAAATTCATGATCTGATCCCATCTGTGAAGAATGTGATCCCTAACATGCAATACCCCGGCGTCTACAAACTAAGCTGTGTCTGCAGCAGTAGTTACATTGGGGAAACTAAGCGACATGTCTTGGACCGTGTTCGTGAACATAAGGCAGGTCTGAAACACGGAAGTCCAATACCTCGGCCGTGGCTGTTTTAATGCAGTGGGCTCACACGAAATTGATTTCTCTAAGACGAAGGTACTTTGCAAACCCACTGGCTATCAACAAAGTTTGGTTCATGAAGCTATCCATATATAAAGACACAGACACAATTTCAATCTAGAAGATGGGTATAAACTGAGCAACTATTGAAAGGACGATTTCAACCTGTTTAAATCATAACTGGCTGTGATGTTACCATCCTACCACCTTCCGATGTAAGTTGTTATTTTCGGCTCTCTGATTTTACACTTCTGCCATCGTCTGGAATGCTCTTCCTTCCGATATTAGGAATCCACTGGACCTATGCACTACTGGGCATCTGCGAATATTGGAAATTTGTGACCATCAGACATCTGTGAAAAGGAGCTTTATAGATCATCATATTGCTCCAGTAAAATTAATATTTTATTTCAATAATTCAGATTTTACATTTTAATTGAAACTCATTTATCTAGAACAATTTTTAGGTTTAGTTTGTTGTCCTTTCCGCACTTCCGATTAGGACAGTTGGATACGTATGGTGTGAAAGAAGTTGAATGCACGCGCATACATACATCAGCAGGGTCTGGGAACAAAGCCACAACCTCTTGCCGACCAGACAAGGGAGATAACTTAACCTGGCTGCCGTGGCATTCCCTCCCCTTCCCCTTTCCCCAAGGTGCGTCAATTCGAGCCACGTGACCCAGGGACGCCTCAGCTTCGTCTGGAACGACAGAGGCTCGGGAGCGACGCGCGACGTCAGCTTCTGGAGTGTGGAGAACGATCCGATGTTGACTGGTGAGGCCTTGGGCGGAGAGAGTCACTGGCTTCCTCCCATTAGTTAACTCCCCTGTCTGGGATGCCGGAGGGCGTGTGTTCAATCCACGACCTTGATGCTTGCCATGCCACAGTGACGAGGAGATGTCAATTCCCTTGTCTGGGATGCCGGAGGGCGTGGGTTCAATCCACGACCTTGATGCTTGCCATGCCACAGTGATGAGGAGATGGCAATTCCCTTGTCTGGGATGCCAGAGTGCGTGGGTTCAATCCCTGACCCTGATGATGCTTGTTCCTCCGGGTTTTCTCCCTGCACATGTAAAATCAGCATCTGGCATTTAGAGTGTTTGGCTGATTCTGTAAATTCCACGTGATTAGCCACTTCACAGAGCCGCTATAATTCGCGATGGCCAGATAACGAGGCCTTACCTGGTAAAATAAAAAAATAGTTGAATCGTTTAGTAATTATATTCTTGGTTCTTTCAGTAAAGTCATGTAGAAGGGAAACAATAAAATAATAAAAATATAAAACAATAAAATCCTCACGACGTTTCGACTGCAGCACAAGCAATCATCATCAGGTGTGAAAACCACAGCAAGAAAATTTGGAAAAAGTGGCGAGTTTTTTTAACGTCGTGAGAATATTATTGTGTTATTTTATTTTATCAATTTATTATTTTATTCTCATTCTACGTGACTTTACCGAAAAAACCAAAGAAGATGAATCATTGCAGTCACGAAAGCTTTAAATTGAAATTCATCGTTTAGTAATTGTCAAAAAACTGATTTCACTTTTTGTTGTTCGTACAACCACCGCTCCCTGTTTCCTCGGTGCTCGGCTTCATGGCGGCAGGCATCACCGCGGGGACGTTCATCTCCCATGCGAGCCACAGTGACCTGGGCACGGTGCCCGCCGTGCTGGACGCGAACAAAGCCATTCTCTCCGCGTTCCTGCCAACCTCGTCAGAGGTGGCGCTCGTCCTGTACAACACGGACAGAGTGACGGAGATGTGGAATGATAAAGGTACGGGGTGTATACATAGATAGATAGACACACACAGATGGACACCCATTGACACACACACACAGAAACACAGAGTTAGACACGCAAAAATAGACACACAGATAGACACCTACAGACACACAGAGACAGACACACAGGGATAGACACATAGAGATAGACACGCATGGATAGACACCCACAGACACACACAGAGAGATAGACTCACACAGATAGACACTCACACAAATAGACAACAACAACCGCCATTCGCCACTAAGTGGCGGTGACGTCACCACGACGCTTGTGCCAGGCCATGTGCACCTTGAGGCCATAGACACACAGACACACAAGGATACACACATAGCTAGACACAGATAGGCATACACAGAGATTTCGACACCCAAAGACACACACAAACACGCAGGGATAGGCACACAGAGATAGACACCCATAGACACACACAGAGACAATCATGGTTAGACACATAGAGATAGACACACACACAGATAGACACCATAAGATGCAAACACACAGATAGACACCTATAGACATATACAAACACACAGGGATAGACACGCATGGATAGACACACAGGAATAGATCCTGTACAACACTGGGAGTGTGACAGACATCTGGAACAATAGGGGTACAGGGTGTACACACAGATAGACACATGCAGATAGACACCCATAGACACACATAGAGATATGCAGGGATAGACACATAGAGATAAACACACACAGAGATAGACACCCATAGACACACACACAGAGACACATAGAGATATACACATAGAGATAGACACAGGGGGAAATCCTGTACAAAAGTGAGCGCGTGATGGAGATGTGAAATGATATGGCTATGGTAGGGACACACCCCCCGCCTCCCGAAAGACACACAGATAGACAGAGTGAGATAGACAGACAGATAAACACACAGAGAGACAGAGATATAGACACACAGAGATATGCCCATAGCCACACAGAAAGAAACACAGATACCATACACATACAGATACATTCATAGACACACATATAGACACACATAGACCCACAGACTCACAACACAGAAACTCGCACGCTGACAATTCTCATCGGGTTCATGACTGTCATCGCAGGCAGCGGAGGGAAGTATGACGTTTCAATCTGGAGGGCGCAAGGCTGCTGCTCTCTGGGCGACATTGCCATGCCCAACTACGGCCAGCCTAAGGGTATCCTCTTGAGAGAGACCATCCCTGGAACGTTGAGAAAGCCGCTGTCCTTCGAGCGCATCTGGACTGACCGGGGCTCAGGTGCGGACCGGGACGTCTCCATCTGGAAGCCGATCTGCCCACCATCGTACCACGCTCTCGGCTTCGTCGCCGAAGGGAGCCATGGCCGCGTCCCCTCAGTGGAAACAGTGCGCTGCGTGAACACTTCACACGTCTTGCGGGGTGACTGGCAGTGGGTCTACGACGACACCAAGACAGGATCGTCACAGGACGTCACGATATGGAAAGCCGTTGGCAGCGGTCAGACGGCCAACACCTTCAAGGCCGTGACGCGGCATGGCGCAATGGACACGCCGTCATTCATCCTTAACCCGCGGTTCGTGTCGGTGCAGACTGGAGCTCCCGTGGCCAAGGTACGGCTTGTGAACTTCATCTACGACTTCGAATCGCAGGTGGTTAGCAATGTCGACCCACTGGAGCTCACGACACGCACCATCGCCGAGAATTGTCGTGCTCCCCCGGGCAGTCCTCCGCTCAACGTGAAGCGGAAGATCGACGTGACGGTCACGATGACTTCATCTTGGAGTGTGTCAACATCGCTGGCGGTTGGCGTGGAGGTGACTTTTGAGGCGGGCATCCCGCTGATCGCTAAGAACCAGGTGAAGGTGTCCACAACCTTGACGAGGCAATGGGAGAAGACCATCACCGAATCCAAGTCGGTGACTGATTCGCTGGAGGCAACAATCGACGTCCAAGCCGGGAAATCAGTGTCGTACGTGGTGACCGGCCGGCGCTACATTGGAAGTATCCCCTGGAAGGCCACAATGATGACGACGTTCGAGGACGGGAGTTCAAACATCGACCAAGTGGGAGGCATTTTCGAGGGCATGCAGGTGTCTGAGATCCGCGTCTCAGCTGACGCACCACTGCCTTGTGGTTAAACTTCCCGTGATGCTTAGCTTCAGGCCTTGTCCCTTGTAGGGCGAGACCTCAGCTAATGTGCTAGGGGAGCAGCAGCAGTAGAAAAGTGTCCATTGGTTAGGCGAAAATTATTTCTGCCTCTAACTATATTATAATAAAAAATAACTGTATGTAGGTGTGTTAAACTCACTTGGCACAATACGGAGCTAACCGTGTTAATAGGAGGTGCAATGAAATGACAGTTCTAAAGAAATGAGCTTGTTCTGTCTCTCTCTCTGTGTCTGTTTTGCAACCGGCACATACAGGAAAAAGACAAAAACTGTTTGGCCCAGGTGGGTAGCAGTGGAGATTTTCTGCGTTGGGTTTTTCACGACGTGTTTGTTTGTTTGTGAGTTCTTTTGAATGCCATTCATCTCTCTTAGCTTCCTCGCGGGGAGAGGTTGCACTCGCATTGTTTAAGGTTAAACGCACGGCTCTAGAAGAGCCTTGTTGTCCTTCTGCACCTCCGATTAGCACGGTCGGCTACGTACGGTGCAAAAAATGTTCAACATATACAGACGGTGTGACAGCATAGGCAGCAAGGGTGTTGCGGTCAACTGGGGGTATTATTATATATCCGGTCATCCTTGCAGTAGCAGCTTTTGGCTAGCCATCGAACAAAAAGATGGTCACCACATAGCGCGCTTTCAGATGTGCTTATGTGGCCTTCTAGAACGCTCTCCTTCTGATATTCCGAACCCACTAGAGCTCTGTGCTTTGAAAATGCATTTCTTTAGAACTGATTTTTGCGTTTCGTTTTTTGTCCTTCCTCCGCACCTACGATTAGTTGGCTATGTATGGTGTGAAAGAAGCTCAATATAGATACATACATGATGCCATGCTGGTGAGGCAGAGGGGAGAGATTCATTAGGCTCCGTGTACTCTATCACTGCACTGCTCAGAATCCACACAGCTAAAGAAAGTAGACTGTCGTCGACCACTCAAAAACCACGTTATCATGGTGCACGCATTTCCGCATTGTAAAGGTGCATGCGTTATAATGGCAGGCACGTTCTGCATTATAACAATGGTGTGTAAAATATTCCCGAATGGAAGAGCTGCATTGTAGCAAAAACACGTGATAGTGTGATACCACTGCGCATGAATCGACGATTCGCAGTATACTGGCGCTGGGCGGTTGATTGGCCACTGGGCAGTTCATTACGTGACATTGCACCAGGAGTAGTTTGATTATAAAAAAAGTAATTGTTTGGTAAATTTTCGTATACATAACGGGAATTCGAATTTGCAATCGTATTTTCAATCCGCAGCTGCCAGAAGATTTTTCATAGGAGGTTGTTTGATGTGTTAGTGGTGAGGTGGAAGAGTGGTTTCTAAAAAAAACCCACCAAGGTTGCCCACGAGGCAGCCTCTCTTCCACACTGTGGAAGAGAGGCTGCCATTACTCTTTCGGGAGCTGGACCAATACCGCTTGGACCTCTGTGGAATACAGGAGGTTTAGTGGACTGGTTTTGGTGTATATAGGGAGGCTGCCATTCCTGTATCAGAAGCTGTCCCGGTACTTCTTGAACCTCTGGGGCATACGGGATGTCCAGTGGACTGGTTCTGGCTCCAGTCACCATGAGGGGTAAATTGTTCTCTACTCAGTACAGGAAACTGTCCGGTCAGTGCATGGCACCTGAGTCTATTCAATGACCTTCTCCTGTCAGCAATCACTTCACATGACTGCCTCGTAGTGCACCTAGCCTGGCACAAGCGCCGTGGTGACGATACCACCGTTTATTGGTGAGTAGCGGCAGTTGTTGTTAGAGGAAGGCGCAAAGCCCAGGGTTGATTAGAACGATCACTCACCGCCAATCTCAGCTACATCCGGGAATTGATCTTGTGTCGCTGGGTTCATAGTACAATTCGCTAACAAATGGACCACCGCTCCAACGTCCACACTCCATACAACATACATCCTCTTTTGAGACTTTTGAAGTTGTGCACCCCAAAGTGTGCATTTCAGTGATTGTCACTTTTGATTCAATAAATGAGAATGAATGGAATCCAAACAAATCACGGCTGAAGTGGTGTTTCAATTACGTTCACGAGGTTCGAGCATGGCTGGCTACGTGTGATGCGAGATAATTTCAGCAAACATATGTAGTGGGTCCAAGACGAGGAGAGACGGTTCACTGGAGGCAACACGTTCATTCAACTAGGAGAACATAACACAGAGGGGTAACAGCCCCTTACACCCGATACCTGGGGAGGTACAGCCTCCAGGCTATCATGCCTCTATCACTGGGACCACTCTATATATCAACCCTCCGGCTAGGGGGACCTAGGGGAGGCTATCTGACCCGACCCAGCCAAGGTCCTCAGGTCCCGGCCACTGGCCCACTCGGTCCCGGCCCTTAAAAGGACGTCGGGTCCGGGGGTTCCCAGGGTCCTATTCTAAGCTGGCTCTTCGGGTCTTCAGCTTGACGACGACTGCCAAACCCGTTCAAGGGCCCGGCTTTTAGACTCACTCCAAGGTCTCTCCGCCTGTAGCCACGCCTCCTTTCTGGAACATTCTATAGGGCCCTGGAATTTTCCCCCAGGGCCCCATCTTGGGGTCTGGGAACCCTCGTGGCCCAACGGCCCGGTTCATCCGTCTAGCCTGCATACCACCCCCTGCTGACACATGTCCGCTACTACAGGTAAGTTCCTTCATACAGCCTGTCAATGGCCGCTACATCATACCCACTCTAATAGCATCCAGCTGTCTCGGCTGTAAAGATAACAATGAAAACCGTTAACAAACTATAACGAGTACGTGTGCCTCAATGAAAAAGAACGAGAACAGTAAAATCAAACGGTCCCACATACATACCCCAACCCACCTGTACAAATATACACTACTAGCGGGAAGGACCAGGTATGTCCTGGGTGAAAAATGTACTTTAAAACTTCTCATAAAAACCTTACATATACCGGTACGTACACAGATACTAAGGTATTGTGAAAGCCCAGGGGGGCGTTTGTTCATTTCTCCACCAACAAAATTATCGAAAATAGTCGAGCCCCCTCCCCTCAAAAATATATATTCACCCACGTGTAGGTATATAAACCTGCATACCCTACCTATAATAAGTAAGTAGTATCTATTGACTCTGTAGTTGTATCTACTGACTGTACAGTAGTATCTACTGAGCCAGTAGGGTCTACTGATTGTATAGAAGTATTTACTGACTGTAGCAGTATTTATTGACCATTGTGGTATATACTGACTGTTTTAGTATCTACTAACTCTATATAGCAGTATCTACTATCACTACAGTGCATGCCAACTGTGTTTACCTGCTAAGTTTACAGCAGTGCATACGGACTGTGGTGGTACCTGCTATGATTACAGCAGTGCATACTGACAGTGGTGGTACCTGCTATGACTACATCAGTGCATACTGACTGTGGTGGTACCTGCTATGATTAAATCAGTGCATACTGGCTGTGGTGGTAGCGTCTATGATTACAGCAGTGCATACTGTGGTGGTGCCTGCTTTCACTGCAGAAGTGCATACGGACTGTGGTGGTACCTGCTATGATAACAGCAGTGCATACTGACTGTGGTGGTACCTGCTATGACAACAGAAGTGCATACTGACTTTGGGTGGGACCTGCTTTCACTGCAGCAGTGTATACTGACTGTGGCGGGACTTGCTTTAACTGCAGCAGTTGCTACCCACTGTTGTGGTTACCTGCTTTAACTACAGCAGTGCATACTGACTGTGGTGCTATCCTGCTATTGCTACAGCAGTCCATACCAACTGTGGTGGTACCTGCTTTCACGACAGCAGTGCATACCGACTGTGGTGTCCCTGCTGTGGTGTCCCTGCATCAATGCATACCGACTGTGGTGGTAACTACTTTCACTACAGCAGTGCATACTGACTGTGGTGGTACCTACTATGACTCCAGCAGTGCATACTGACTGTTGTGGTACCTGCTTTGATTACAGCAGTGTATATCGACTTTGGGTGGGACCTGCTTTAACTACAGCAGTGCATACCCACTGTGGTGGTACCTGCTTTCACTACAGCAGTGGATACGTACTGTGGTGGTACCTGCTATGATTACAGCAGTGCATAATGCTGTGGTGGTAGCTGCTATTATTACAGCAGTGCATATTGTGGTGGTACCTGCTATGCTTACAGCAGTGCATACTGACTGTGGTGATACCTGCTATGATTACATCAGTGCATACTGACTGTGGTGGTACCTGCTATGATTACAGCAGTGCATACTGACTGTGGTGGTATCTGCTATGATTAGAGAAGTGCATACTGACTGTGGTGGCACCTGCTATGATTACAGCGGTGCGTACTGACTGTGGAGGTGCTGGCTATGATTACAGCAGTGCATACTGTCGTGGTACCTGCTATGACTACAGTAGTACATGCTGACTCTATATCAGTATAAATCGATACTTTTTGGTTCTTTCGGTAAAGTCACGTAAGTATAAAATTGAATAAATTAAATCACGACGTATCGGGCGCAACACAAGCGTTCATCATCAGGTGGGGGCAACCACACCAAGAAACAATTGCTGAAGTGGGCAAAAGGGCTGCTGTGACAAGAGGCTATATCGGTAAGAGAGAGGGGGGGGGGTGCCAGGGAGGAGAGATAGAGAGGGGGTTGTGGGGTAGGGGGAGGAGCGCTGCTAGAGGGATTAGGAAACGAGCAAAGCAAACGTGAGAGGGGCTGGGAGTGGGAGGCGGAAGAAACTGGAGATGCGGATATGAAGGCAACACCATAAAAGCAGTTAAGGTTTTACCTGGTTAATTACAATTCCTTAAAAGGGAAATAAATAGCAATGAATAACAATTAAATGATTACCAATCGATTATATAATTACAATAACCTCCCCCTCTCCGCCTCAAATCGCTGCACCTGATATGAGTTAAATGATGACGTCACCCTGCTGCTGCTCTATTTCAGACCGGGAGCAAGAGGAGAGCTTCACCATTCTGGCAAATTGCTAGATGATGCTGGATGTAATTACCAGCGAAACGGCGTACTCAAATTTTCAATTATGTTAATTCACTCTTCAACACACCGGTGGGCTAAAGTAGTGAACTATTTGTCCTTTGTAAACGTGACACATTTTTTACTGTTTGGCCGTGTCGAGTGGTGGAGGGTTACGACACGTTTATAAATAACGCGATCTAACCCAAAAATTTTTATTATGAAACTCCACTGACACTGCCGACCAGGGGGAAATCATACAACTCCACTCAATTGTCACTGGAGAACAGGGGAAGAACATACAAACTCCACTCACGCACACTGCAAAACAGGAGGAGATCATGCAAACTACACTCGCTAACACTACATAGCATGGGGAAATAATACAAACGCCCCTCTATAAAACAGGTAGCAGAATGTACAAACTCCACTTACTCACTATGTAGAACCAGGGAAGATAATACAAATTCCACTTACACACTACACAACAGGGGGAGATCATAATAATTCCATTCACATTCTGCGAGAACAGGGAGAGAACATACAAACTCCACTCAGTAAATCATATTCTGCATTACTGGGGTAGAACATGCAAAGTCCACTCACACTACCCAACAGCGAGACATCATTCAAACTCCACTTACTTACGCTCAATGTATAACAAGGGGAGATCATACAAACTACACTCACTGTACACTGTACAACAGGGGGAGATCATACAAACTGAAGTCACACACTCTTACAAACTCCACTCACTCAATCATATTCTGCAGAATGAGGATATAACATATAAACTCCACTCGCTCACTCTGTAGAACTAGGGAAGATCAGAAATCTCCACTCTAAATCTTTATAACAGACAGAGAAGATAATAAAGTATTAAAGCTTTCGTGACTGCTTAAAATTACTCATTGTCTCGTCTCTCATCTTTTTGCTGTATTTACCTCCGTGATTTGTTCTTGACACCTGATGAAGATCGCTTGCGTTGTGATCGAAACGTCGTGATTGTTTTTTGTTTTAATATAATTTTATTGTATTTCTACATACGTGACTTTACCGAAAAAAACAATGAGACAGAGAAGATACAAACTCTACTTATTCAATCTCACTCTGCAAAAGAGGGGGAGATCAAACAAACTCCATTCACTCACCTTCTGCAGAACTGGGTGACAACTTGGGCGATATTGGGATTGCGAGAAGATGGGCAGCACTTGTCGAGAGCACATCAGCAGTCTGCCATTTGCTAGTGTGGCTCGTGAAAGAAAGATGAGGCGAGTAGTCTTTCTGGCTGGTGAAATTGAATGTGCCGGACTGCTTTGCATTGTACACCATGTTTAGGTCGTGCATGGAGAATCAATCTGACAGTTGTCCTTGTGCAGTTTTGTTGTTAGAATACCCACACATGTAGTGTTGGCTGTTGAAGTCGTCAATGTTGATGGTTGGGTGCATTGCATATCGGGCCAGAGGTAATTTGGTGGCTTGTAAAAAAATTGTGATGATCAGCTTCCCTCGCATTAGTTTTCAAGCTTTCCCATTGAGAAATTTCCTTTAACAGGAGGACCAGTTGAAGGTTGCTGTCTCCCTCCCAGAGAGAATGACAAAAACTCAGATATAGAGTTAGCCAAACACCGAGATAGAATCAGACACAGAGAAAAAGTGATACAGGGAGACACTGAGACAGCGAGACAGAGAAGCACATCAACTTTGTGATACAGATACACAAAGACAAAGAGATAGTAAACAGGGAGACACAGAGCCACGCAGGAAGACATGGAGAGACCCAGGTGGATACACAGAGCCACAGGAAGACATTGAGAAACAGACACACACAGGGAAGCACCAGGATACACAGACAGACAAACAGGGATACGGGGAGAGACAGGGTGATAGTGATCCCAGTAACAGGAAATACAGGAGCAACAGAGGACAGTGATCAGCAAGGCCCAGTATATCAAATCGAACTCTGTGACAGTGAGTCCCAGTGTGAAAACGAACCGTAGTAACTGTGTACAATGTTTATTAGGTTTATTAGGCTAACTCTGCTAACCTCGGAACCATGATCCAGTGGGACATGGAGCGGGGAATCCCAGGAATATAGATACAAAGCGGCTTATCACGATGCTGCATTGTCAGCATAACGGTAGACACTTGGCTGAAGATATCAGGTTGGCAGGCGTTCTAAGTCACTGCGTGCTCCAAGTCGTATGCGCTGAGACATCGTGACTACCCTTGGCAGATTCCATACACCCCCTGCTCACACGCATCCATGACCTTCCACCCTGGGCCTGTTCTGCTCATGCTGTGCCCTGGCTACTCGTGTTCTTCAGAGCGAGAAACCACAGACCTGCACCTCTGTGGGATGGCATGGCAAGTGCGTACAAGCGTGCGGGCGTGTTGTGGTAAATAGTTATGTTTTTTCCCCTTGTTACCCCGATGCGCCTGGCTATTTAGGATTAGGGATGCCCCAACTGTCAGACTGAGTGGTGGTGGTGGTGTTGGAGTTAATAAAAAGGGGTTATTGCATCCAGGATGAGTGCCGGATGAACCATGTTAGTGGAATAGAAGGGGGAGACCTACACCTCCACTACATCTGTGTATCTGTGCGTCTGTCTGTGTTTCTGTGTCTTTGTGATTCTGCCTGTATCTGTTTTTGTGTCTCTGTTTAAGTGTTTGTATTTTTGTTTCTTTGTATGTGTTTTTGAGTGTTTTTTTTTGCTGTGTTTCTGTGTCTGTATGTGTTTCTGTATCTTTGTGTGTCTGTGTTTTTGTATTCCTGTGACCGTGTCCCTGTCACTGTTTCTGTCTCAGTGTTTCTGTGTTTTTGTGTTTATGTATCTGTTTTTCTGTATGCCTCTTTCCCACTGTGACTGTGTTTCTGTGTCTCTGTGTGTTTTTGTGTCTTCATGATTCTGTGTCGCTGTGTTTATTTCTGTGTCTGTGTCTCTCTCTTGCACTGAGTGTTCTGCACTCTTTTCACGTCAGGGAAGCCGCCCCCTCCCTATCTAATGACGTCATCAACAGATGAACTGGTGACTTTTTTGGCAATGACCCTTCTCCATGTCATCAATAATAGCGTAGCATGTGAGGCTTTGACTGCATTAAAATATACAATAGGCACAATAGGCGACGTTTTGGGAAATGGACTCCCTGTCTTCTTCATAGCACATGCACAGAGAAGCCAGGAGAGAGGCAGATTGGATGCTAAGAGCTGCAGGCTCCATTGGATTACACCATGGGCCTGGGGGCCGATGAGAATCACATTTCACACGAGTTTCAACGTTCAGGTTCTCATCAGCGGCAGAGATTGAGCCTGATGAAGGTGAATCTGCTGCTGATGAGACAATGAAAGTCAAAACCGGTCCAGAGTATTGCTGGAACTGAACAAATGGTTCAAGCAAGCCTGACTCTTGATGAGACACTGAATGTTAAAACCGATCCAGAGTTTTACTTGTAAGAACAAATGGTTAAAGTGAGCCAGAGAGGCCATCTGATGCTTTGTCTTCATCGGCCTTGATAGCAAGCCGAGTGTTACAGAGTATCAGAGGTGGGAGTGTGCGTATTTGCCTTTTCGGAGTTGGTGGGATGCTAAGTTTACCAAACTAAAGTGAGTATCCAACGCCCTGCATGAACATAAAGGGCCGGTTGACTCTGCCCACGTATGTATGTTGAACTTCTTTCGCAGCATACGTAGCCAACCTTACTACTCGGAGGTCCACGTGTGTACATTAAAGCCATCACCATCTTAACCACACGTTCAGGGTGGTGCATGAGATAGAGGTTATTGGGAGACACCTGGGGCCTAAAGGTGCGGTAGAGGGAATGGACACTGTTTGACCAGAGGAAAAAATGCACCAAGTAGTGTGTGTAAACACATCATAGCGGTAGACAAGTCGAGAGGCTGAGTTGATTGATTGCAAGGGCCCTTAATCAGACCATACCGAAAGTGACTCATCGGGGCCACTGCGCATCAGCGTCCACACCGAGTGGAACCGTTCTATGCATGACAAGGAGGCACAAGTCCCACCGTGGGTTTCAAGGGGGAGTCGGTGAAGCCAAGACCCAGACCCCTCACCGTCCCCTCCCCCGCTGTGAACTCCGAGTTGCATGACATACAGACGAGTTTGAGACGATGTTACGAATATTGTATTTTTATTACGTCTATTAAACCAACAATGATACTTATATAACTATGAATAAAATTAATCTTAACTGTTAACAGGTGGCCTTGGTACTTGCCCTTTTTGGCTTCATCTGTGATATCACCAGGCCACCTCAGCTCTCAAATGCTGGTTCAGCTATGCCCTTCCATGTCCTGGAAACCGTGGCGAGGTCATCCTCTGAGGACTGCCCGGATGAAAACCAGGATGGCAGGGCCCAGCGTAGGGCTAACTACACTAATGGGCTAGTCCCATGTGTGTGGTGTGTGTAGTGTGTATGTGTGTACAGTCAGTTCTGTTATAAAGCATGTTTTCATCACGCAAATATTGTATTAAGGAACACATTCTTTTTATAACGCGGATGAGAATTGGATAAACGCGATTGAGTGAATAGAACTATGCCGTGCGAGTTGGGATAAGCGGTTGTATGGCTGCCTCGGCATAAGATCACGCAAGGCGAATCTAAATGCTACCCATGCACCTTGGTCATTGTTCAGCCTGCATACGCATCTCGCGTGTCATCGCGGACTGTGTTTTACTCTATACAGTATTGCTGTATTCGTCTCGCTTTATCATGCAACTTTGTTGATTTTCTATTACAATGGAATATTAATGAATTAACCATGTTTCTTCTAATATTATGTTTATCATGTTGTTAGTAACTTTATTTGTTAATATACATTTTTTTAACATTATAAAGTACGTTTTATGGGTGGAAAAGGGCTAACTTTTGATGCTATGGAAACAAATTTAGCCTTTAACATGTCTTTCCTATACTTGCCTAATGACCAAATTATAGTCGACCCTTCTGCATCGCGACTTTCAATATATTGCGGGGTCGTTATAAGAAATAAAATGGGAATTTTTGGGGAGTTTTTGGGAGTTTTGCGAAAGCCACAGATGACACGCAAACGTCAGCAGACAACACAAAAAGTTTAGGGACTCATAAATCCATAAAATATATGTACAGTACTGTATAATATTAATCTATTGTATCTTTCAACACCATAAATATACACAATTTATTTTTTAAAGTTACATTTTGTAAAAAGTTAAGTTTGCTAAAAGAACGCAAAAGCCAGCAGACGACACGCAAAGGCTGAACATGTAGAGATAATTTAAAAAAGTTTAGTAACTGGAGGTGCTTGCTTCGCTCACCAAGGGGACCAAAACATTTAACTTGTTTTTTTCAGATCGCGGGGCCTGCACCTCTAACCCCCGCGATGTGGAAGGGTCGACTCTACTTGTTAAATTACCAGCTTACTTAATGACCGTATTCATGGAACCAATTACAGTCGTTAAGAGGGGTTTTATTCTATATGTGTAGGGGTAAAAAAACTCAGGAGATGGGATCTGATATTGATGCTAGCACCGGAAGTTGCTCATGTATTCGCTTAGGCGAGCGTGTGTGTATACGGTGTGTGGAATGTGTACGCGCCCAGGATGAGCATTACGGTCGCATGCGGTGCATTTCTTAAAGCCACGGAAGAATGAGCATACGGCCCTGTATGCTCGAACCAGACGTGACTTCTTCTTCTCTTTCTGCAGGGGTTCACCCCACTGTCTAGTCTCCTCCTTGGCGGATGCCTCTGAGTGGATTGATGTGTCCACAACAGGGACACACTGACTCGGCACTTCCTCATCCCTCGGCACTTCCTCATCCCTCGGAATTTCCTCATCCCTCGGAATTTCCTCATCCCTCAGCCAGCTGTGCGCCAGTGCCTCTGCTGGTGTCATCCGCAGAGCTGGATCCCATCTGTTGAGGCACACAGAAATATGTGGCACACGTGGCAAGGGTGATAATGATGTAAGTATTTACGTGAATTTTTTTCTCTTACTGTGTCCATTAACTTACGTGTGTATGTTCAACTTATTTCGCACCATACATAGCCAACCGTGCCAATTGCAGGTACGGGTGAAGGACAACAAACTACATTCAATCATGAGTTTAAAAAAAAGTAGTTTTCAATCTATATTTAAAAGTTAATTGCCCCAGTGGTGTTGTGGTTAATTTGTGGTTCATTTGTGGTAAGAACTTTGTGTGTATTGAGTGTGATGTATTCGTTTAGCAAGTGTAATCCAATGCAGCTCCGTGAACACTGGACGGACATGGTTGGATCTTGCAAAGAATCTTGTACATGCTGCAGCTTCCTAATGCTTTTTGCAGACGTCCCGTAGACTAGTGAGTTGCAATAATCTAACGTATACGCCACGATGTTGGCTATGTCATGACTCAATAGTGGCTGATTGTGTCATAGAGCCCTGATTAAAAAAAAATTGCAGGACCTGACTATATAAAAAAGGGAGAAGCATAAATCCTCCACTATTGGTGATGACTGGCAGATGAACCTTCTGTTCTCCCCACTGTGCCATCTTGATGTATTTTTCCCCCTGGTGGTCCGCTCATTGTGAACATCGCTCCACTACCCTCAATTGTTGTTGGAGGGTCAATGCTTACAACTGTCCAGTAGCCTCAAGGTACGTGTAGCCTGGCGTTGCCCAGTGGCATCCTTCACCGAGCCCCCTCCACATACATGATATACATATATCGATATATGTTCCTTTTATGGGCTTTCATGTAAGAGTATGTGAGTCTATTGGTTTCTATAAGTGTATAGACCATGTGAGTGTATGAGTCTGGGTCTTTATATGTGTATGGACCACGTCATTGCATGTGAGTCTATTTGTCTATGTATTTGTAAATGTATGGCTGATGTAAGTGTATGCAAGTTTGTGGGTCTCTATGTAAGTGTGTGGTCATTAAGGGCCTTCATGATGGTGGGCAATCTCAGGTAAAGCTATGTGGCCTGAAGTCAGAGCCATTCCCTGTTTACCTTGGGGTGCGAACGGGATGTCCTCTGCCTCCCACATTATTTAACATCTTTTTCGACCACGTAGTCTGTGGATATTGGTATGGACCATGTGAGTGTATGACAGTATATGGGTCTCTCTTTACGTGTGTAGTGTTATAACGCGGGCTGCTGACGGGGAAGCGGCAGAGGCAGCAGGGGGCAGTACACACATCAGCAGAGGGAGATCTAAAGGGAAGCCCAGGAAGAAATCGATCTGGAAGCCTGAGAACCCGCTAGTAGGTTCGAGAAAGAGGGCGTGGCAAGGGCGGGGCGAGGCCACGCCAGGGGAATAAAAGGGGGCCCGGGACGGGAGCTCGCGGCTGTTGCTGGAAGTGGATCCCCTCGCCGTGTCGCCGTTCGTCACCTTCGTCGGTTCCGTCTCCGACCACCTTAGACGCCGCAAGCTAGACAGCCTGCAGACTGTTCCAGCTAGGTAGTACCTTCAAGAACATGGATGTGTGACTAGTGCGTAGGCACGCGGGGCACATGTGGTTTCCTGACGTGTGGAATAAGGAAGGTCCCTTAAGAACCCTGTCTCCGACTGAGTCACTACACGTGCATGGACCATGTAAGTACGTGAGTCTGTGGGTCTCTATGCAAGTGCATGTTTTTACATGCAAGACTATGGACAATGGTGTTTAATGGGAGATATGGCTTGGAAGATGAAGAATAATCAGAATAGAGGGTGGAGCTAGTGATCAAAGAGGAGCTTTTGCCAGTGATGTTAAACTATTAAACTCTTTTCTTTTAACCAGGTGACTGAATGGGAAAACCTCTCGGTGGTATGGTGGGAGCGGGGTTGTGTTCTTACTCCAGGCAGCGGCTAATGAAGTCAAGGAACTCCGAGTCCTGGCTCCCGAGTGCCAGGTAGAGGGGGTGACTGCCTGGGACCCTGCTTTGTCCGGACATCAAAGGCATCCCCGAACCATCTGCAGGAACGATGCAGACCAGTTAAAACATCACAACAAACCACAGCACCCTTGTACACCCACAGCGTAGAAACAAAATCTTTTAGTGCTCTGACATAGATCAGTGGGAGTGCTTTGACCGCATGTTGCAGAAGTTCATGGTTCAAATTCTGCAAGCCGCCTTGGTTATTACTTCAGTATTAACCATATGATGCTTTGCGCTGTTTGATTTAAAATGGGACATTACAGACCTTGTGAAGTAATAAAATTACCGTGCTGGCGTTATGCCCGCTACTGTGAAATGACTGCAGTTGGTGTCTGTGAAACACAGCTGGCACCTTCCTTTGTGATAGCTTTGCATTCTAAGAATTATAGCGCAAATACCAAGTGCAATCAATAATTATTAACTATGATAAATCCTTGAGGTAAACAAAGAAGAGCTATTTTAACTGTGATTGAATCTCTTTCGAGCAAAACATTATTTTTTACCAGGTAAAGCCCACTGAACTATTGCCTCTTCTTCAGAGGCGACCAGGCAAAGGGGAATAGATATGTTCCCGCAATGTACAGCAGCCAGGGTGGGGATCCACGCGACGACCTTCTACATTGCAGGTGAGGGAGGAAACGTCTCCTCGGCTCTGCAGCTTCCCAAAAACGTCCGATCTGATTGCTAAACGTGGTTTTGAGCATTGCCCTTCACATTACAGATGATTCTACTAAAATAATGATTACTAGTCACAACTGGCGTCTCTTTAATCGCTTGCACTTCATGGTACTTTAATTTGCTTGCCTGTGGCAGGTGGTGGAGAGCCTTAATGATACAAATTTGGGCAGATCACCATGAGGTCTAACCCTTCCCCAAAAAAGCATTACGAATTATATTGACTGCAAAAAAACGTGTGGAAGTAGTTAACTATACAAAGTAATGCCCCACTAAACTCTTAACAGACCCAGCTCCGCCTCAAACTTAATGCGGTTCCCCCGCTCGCCCCTTCACTCACCAAAGTACTTGTTTCTCCCAGGCGCGCCATCAATCAAATTCTGAGGAGGCATCCCGAGGGTCTACACACAATTTACAAAGAGACAATGATCACCCATACAGTATTGACACACTTGGGTGGCATGTTTTGTCTGTGAGCACCTACTGATGATGGCACAGCACCCAAGGCCACACCGCAGTAGCTATTTTACAAATAACTCTAGGTATTGATTTAATGCTGAGTCGATATTTGAGAGGCCAAGGACTGGTCCAACATTCAACACCACACGGTCAGGGCGTTAACCACTCAGCTACCACTCCCGATGGTTCTCGCATGCAGGCACACGGCAGTGTTATTGGCATGGCCTAGCAAAACCGCGTACGCAGCACGTTGCAGAAGTTCACCGATCAATCCCAGTGACTGCCCTGGTCTTTCCTGCTGTATTAAACCACAAAATACTATGCACCATCTGCCACATTCACAGCGGAGGTTATGGGTCCCGTGGCTTCATTTGAAATTGCTTATATGGTTGTGACAATTGTCTTCATTACAAGCAGTTGAGATGAAACAACAATAATTTGCGCGATAAATGCTTGTTCATCTGACAATTCAAATTGTTTACAGGTGGTTTTAGGGTTACATTTGGCCAATCCGTGGCCTCACGCAATAATCTATCACGAGTCATAAGACAAGCTCTAAAAATCTATGCGTTCTGCTCACGGTTACCTTGACGGGTCTACGCCTGAGTAATTGCTTCTGTCACGCGGTTGTATGCAACTCAGTAGCTTGTGTGTGGACAACCCTGCAACCAGTCGCGAGCACTTGTATGCCTCTTTCTCACAGAAGAGACGACTTAAGTGGTCTGCTCAGGGAATTGTAAGGAACTATTTCCTGTCGCATGTTCTATTGGTCATACCAATTTTGAATATTATGTTAATACCCTTGATGTGGAAATACTCGCTGAGAAGTGAACGTGGTTAGAAGCAATGACTGAGTTGGGCGATTTCAAGAGCAAATTGGTCATGAAATTGATGACAATAACGGAATTGTCAGTGTTACTGCTGTGTGGGCAATACCTCCATATAACACGGGAGCTGGTCGAGTTTGTTGATGGCCGGAAAGAGGATGCGTCCGGTAGCCAACTCGGCCACTGTACAACCCAGTCCCCACATGTCAACCGGGAAAGATGACATGTGGCCCAGGTACACCTCTGGGGCAAGGTACGCGTGGGAACAAAAATTCTGTGAACCTGTGAATTACAAAAGACAAACATCACCAATATAGCCTTTAACAGCAACACACAGGCACAAAAAACAAGTATAAAAACACATGTACTCACCCATAGGTCTAGACACATGCACACACACAGGCGCAGAGATGCAAACACGTGTATATACACACACACAAAACGTCCCCATATAGCCTTTAACAAATTTCTATGGAATTTGCTTTTAGCAAGCACCTAATGAAGGCCTGAACAACACACACGAGGATGAGTGGCCAGCACCACGCTCATCCACCTTTGTCTCCTAAAGTGGTGGTGCCTAGGCACCGCACATGGTACTCATTTATGGCTGAGTCGACCTAGGGGAGGCCCAGGACTAGTTCAGATATTCATGAACGCGCATTTTACTCCAGTCACCAGGATTGTAGTACTGTCGACTAACCCCAACACTACGGCTCCTCACTGCATAAACAAAGAAAAGTTCCCCCGTGTAGCCTTAGACATTGTTGGGGTAAGTGCAATTAGTGACAACCTCTGAAGTCTGGAACGACACTTGAAGGGGGTGGGTGGCCTGCACCGTGCCTGGCCACCTTCGTCTCCTGAGTGGCATTGTATACACACCACACCAGGTACTCATTTGAGACTGAGTCTGCCTAGGGGAGGCCCATGACCGGTTCAGAAAACCGCCACTCGAACCTGGGTCGCCAGTTTCGTAGTGCAGTGTGTTAACCACTACACTACTGCTCCTCAAACTGCATAAACACACATTCTCACTCAGCCACACACTCACGACTCACGTTGGCGTCCCACCAAAAAGCTGTTTTCAAAACTCATCATCCGGATGGTCCCTGCCCCAGGCTCTTTAATCGACATGTTCCTCTAGACGATGGGCAGCAGAAGATATTCACATTCAGAGGTTATGATAATAATGTCAACTTGTAATACGCCAATGTCATGCAGTATTCACTCTGTCTGGAAGAGCGAGAACCACTCTGAGGCACGAGGAGAGGCCACAGATGATGTTTCACACCATTGGTGTGATCCACCAACCTGCGGCTCTACAGTGCTGAATTACAGGCATGCACAACTATTCAGCCTGCAGAAGATTGATCATGTAGCAAAATTACCATAATAAATATTAAAAGGGGAATTGGAGATGACATGCTTTTGCCAAGGTTATTCATAGCGACTCAAGAAAATGTTTTCTGACGGCTGCCGATGGGGTGCCAATTCAAATGTATTTAGATGAGATGATGCCAATCGATAATCTCATGTAGAGCACTCTTGGGTACCCGGCGTAAAAGAGGGCGCTCTTATCATACCTGAATAACGATTGTTACAAGAGGGCCGAACGGAACTTGTAGCTGTGAGTGTGAGTTAGGCAGAAGCATGCACATGCATGAAGTTGGTAACGTATTCTCATGCGCATGAGCAGCATGAAAACAGGTGGGCAGCTGTCAGGTTAAAGCACAGCTGCTTATTTGCAAAGCCTCCTTTTACTTGCACTGGTTTGTGTCTCCATGATTTGGGCATTGCTTTGTTTTGACGTGTGTGGTTTTCTCTTTTGCGAGTCCCTAATAGCAAAAAACCTTTAAACTTAAGTTTCACCCATACATAACCCTCTGTACGACAGTTATCATGACCCGCAGCTATTGACAGTTGGACAGAGTGGATGCATTAACGCTTTGATCAATGGGTCTAGGTTTTACGAGGACGAGCCCCGAACGGGAACTCAAATTAATGCTGCAGTTGCGCTGAACGTGGTCTCCACTCACCGGCTTGATGTCCCCATGCACGATTCCCTTTGCATGGAGTTGAATGAGGAATTTGAGAATGGACTTGGTGAAGAGTTTCACCATTGTCATCTCCATGTGCTGGGGTGCCGTGCAATCAACGGCACTTAACAGATGTCTTCTGTTAACGAGACAACAACACAAAGTCAGTGCCATCCTGTAAAGGGCTGAGTCAACAATAACAATTATTATACTCGTTTATCATATGGAAGCCTCACTAAATGTAAACACATTTTCCCGAGGGTCCTGCCAAGTTCTCCTGTCGGGGTGACATTGTTCCTATGTGTAATCCCAACTGAGTAAATTTTAAGGTATTTCCTCAGAATTGGCAAATTTGTCGGATGCCAGTTAAATTGTGTGTGAGTGTTTTGCTATTGGAGGAATCCGGAGAATGCAGAGGAATTCTATGCAGAACAAGGGGAGAACAAACTCCACACAGACACTTATATCCGAGTCAGCAATCGAAACCAACCTCTTGGTATGATGCACGAGTGTTACCACTGCCGCCACACTGCCGGTTGTTGGCGTGGCTGTAGAAAAATGAGCAAGTCTGGAGGTGAAAATGGAGTGGAGCAGCCAGCTTTGCATGTCTCTGTTCAGCTGCTCAGACAGCGGGGTACGTACTTCGGTATGAGCTGCATGACGAGGCAGTTGTGACCCCTGAAGGTGAAAAAGTCGAGGATTCTGACAACGTTGACATCATCATTAGCCCAGCCCTGAAGTTGGAGCAAGATGTGGTACTCCATCCACTGGCTGTGGTCTTCCTCAGCACTGCACAGCGGAAATCCACAGCTTCATATTAATTACAAGAAGTGAACCTTGTAACACGCAGTATGTCGCTCGCTCTAAAAGACAGTTGTCCTTCATCACACCTGCGATTAATAGTGGGCTACGTATGGCGCGAAAGAAGTTAAACATAAATCCAGAGAAAACCCACACATATGAGCACCATAACACTACCCACGTAAAGATCGAATTGATTTACTGTCCTGCCTTCTCCATGCAAGCCATTGTGAAGTCTTACCTGAATGACTGTCTCCACATCTTCACAGCCACTCGGGTGTTGGTCTTGTGGTCACGGCATTTGAAGATCTGGCTGTAAGGTCCGACCACCTTCTTCAGCACCTCATACCGGAAATTGAGGTGCTCATGCTCGACCTGCGGAGCAATCACATCAACTAAGTATAATGATCCAGTCACTGCTCATTCAGTCACTGAGTATGGATGCAATATTTTGTATGGCATGTGTAAGAGTGATTGTGTGAATGTGTCGGGTATGTTGTCCGCCTGTTCTGCAGATGATCATGGTGTTTGTCAGTGTGCAGGCTTTGTATGTTCTCCACTTGTTACGTGCCCTGAGGAGAGCCGTACCGAGACATAATGGTTGTAGACATCATCGTAGCCATGGTTCTGGGTGCCAAAGCCTTTGTTATGGACGCCGAAATACCAGATGTTATTCACGGTGAGGACCTCGCTTCTCTCGGTGGGGGTCAGGAAATCCCCAAAGAGCTTCAAGATTTCTGCAAACATAAGAACAATGATGATGATTAATACTGTACTATTGTTTTAATATTGTTTTGTTAAATAAAACGTTTTCATTTCTTTAATTTGTTCATTAAGCAATGTAGTGTTTTTTTTCCATTTGATTTTTAACCAATTCCGTATTCCTGTAACATGTGAAGAACAGACTAATGACAAATTTGGTATCACCACCTATGTAACCGCGCTTTTGACATGAAGACTTGTTTAACATCCAAACGATCGCAGGACACCCATGAAACATAACCTGGCTGCTTATTGGGCCCTTCCTGCTGAAATGATAATAAAATGTATGATGCTTGTTTACCCAAGAAAGCTCCACTGAGTGCCTGAACTGCATATAATCACCAACACTATATTTTTTTGCATTGGGATGTTTTAATAATTTTCTTTCGCTGTGGGAGGAAACTGAAGAGCCTGGAGGAATCCCATGTAGAGCAGGGGGAGATTATCCCGACTCCAAAGAGAAATGCACGAGGAGTGTTCCTGCTGTGCCACCCTGCCTCGCAACATTTTTATTCCAAAACCATTCACATGCTTGTTTTTGTTTTCAACTATGGCCACCATGACGTCCCCCACCATGACTTCTCTAATCATATCTATCACCTCGTGGGGTTTTACTACTGGCGATGGCAACGCCGTCCGATGTGGGCAGCGCACTCCATTGCACGTCGCTCCTGGAGCCCACCTTCTCTTCAGCCTTGGCCATCTACACACACAGACAAAGATGCAGGTCACCCGGTATAACCTTTAGCAATCTTATAATCTTAGTTCTTTCGGTAAAGTCACGTTGAAGGGAAACAATAAAATAATAAAATATATATAAAACAATAAAAATGTCGTGAGAATTTTTATTGTTTTATATATATTTTATTATTTTATTGTTTCCCTTCAACGTGACTTTACCGAAAGAACTAAGAATATGAATTACTGCAGTCACGAAAGCTTTAAATCAAAACTTTAGCAATATGTTGGAGAAAGTGCAGTAAGTGAGCAATGAGCCAACATCGCTGAGGGCGTGGGTTCCACAGTGAGGAAGGCCAGGCTTTGGCAATATGGGGCGAAGTTGCTATGTGGTCCAGCCATTGGGAACTCTCAGTGGCAGTTGTCCATGTGCATGAGTCTACCAGTGGACTAGTCTACCAGTGGACTATTAGTCTACCAGTGTTCCATGAGTCGACCAGTAGACTATTAGTTTGGATGCAGGAAGTTGTGGGTACGATGCCGACCCTGTGTGACTGATAGTGAGCATGAAAGTATAAAGTGATTATGAGAAAGTGAGTGAGCGTGAGTGTGAGAGTTTGGAAGGATTAGATTGAGTGTGAGAGTGCGTGAGTTTTAAAGTTAGTGAGATAGTGAGAGCAAGTGTGAAAGTGCATGAGTTTGAGAGTGAGATAGTGTGAAGGGGAGTATCAGAGTTAGTGAGTGAGCATGAGTTATTGATAATAAATGTGAGTGAGTTTGAGAGTTAGTGAGTGTGAGAATCAGTGTGTGAGGGGGTGTGAGTGTGAGAGTGAGTGTGAAAGTTAGTTTGAGATTGATGTTGTGAGAGTGCATGGTAAAGTGAGAGTTAGTGTCAGAGTGAATGTGTGTGAACGTGAGTGAGAGTTACAGTGAGTGTGATAGTAAGTGAGAGTGTGTGCGAGTGAGACAGATTGAGTGAGTGAGAATGAGAGAATGAGTGTGAGTGAGTGTGAATGAATGTGAAAATGAGTGGGGGAGTTAATGAGAGTGAGTGGGAGCATGATAAAGTGAGTGATTGAGTGAGTGTGAGTTAGTGAGTGTGAAAGTTAATGCTTGTAAGAGTTATTGAGCGGGAGAGTAAGAGTGTGAGAGTGAGTTAGAGTGAGAGAATGAGTTGGAGAGTGCGAGAGTGTCTGTGAGTGAGATTCAGTGAGAGACAGTGTAAGTGAGATAGTGTGAATGAGTTTGAGAGTTAGTGTGAAAGTGAATGTGAGAGAGAGTGAGCAGGAGAGAAAAGTGCTGTGTGAGAGTGCATGTGAGTGAGCGAGTGAGACAATGAGTATGAGTAAGATAGTGAATGTGAGCATGAGAGTGAATGCTTGTGAGTTATTGAGTGGGAGCGTAAGAGAGTGAGTGTGATAGTGAGTTACTGTGAGAGTGAGTGGGAGAGTGAGAGAGTGCATGTGAGAGAGAATGAGTACGTTAGTGAATGTGAGAATATGTGAGAGTGATACAGTGAGTGTGAGACAGAGGTTGAGAGTGAAAGCAGCGAGTCGGACAGTGTGTGAGTGAGCGCGAGTCTCACCGTGCCCCCTCCTCTTCGTCTCCACTCCCCGTAAAGAATCGCAACAAGAGCTCGGCAACTTGTGCTGCTACTGCTGCTACCTTCTCTGCACGTCTCGCTACACGGAAGTCACGTGTGCAGTGACGTCACTCACCTCCACGGCTATGGCCACGCCCCTATCTCTCCTCCCCACTCAACGAGTGGCCACGTGACCGCCCAACGGTTCGTGCCGTGAGTGTAAGACTTGAGTGAGAAAGTTTGTGAATGTGAGTGTTAGAGTCAGTGTGAGAGTGAGTTTGAGTGAGAGTGATTGAGTGTGAGAGTTAGTGAGTGTTTTAGTGAAAGAGTGAGTGTTAGTGAGAGAGACAGTGAATGTTAGAGTGCCTTTAAGAGTGTGTGAGTGAGTTAGTGAGTGGGTGAGTGTGAGATGGAGTCTCACCGTGCCTCCTCCTCGTTTCCAATCCCCGTAAAGAATAGTAACAGGAGCTCAGCTCTTTGTGCTGCTACTGCAGCTACCTTCTCTGCACGTCTCACTACACGGAAGTCACGTGTGCAGTGACGTCACTTCCCTCACGGCTATGGCCACGCCCCTCTGTTTCCGGTGCGTCAGACCCTCAGACCCCTCCCACTCAACGAGTGGCCACGTGACCCCCCAACGATTCGTTGCGTGACTGGTGAGTTAGACTTGAGTGAAAAAGTTTGTGAATGTGTCAGAGTGAGTGGGAGAGTATGAGTGAGTGAGTGTAAAAGTTAGTGAGTGTTATAGTGAAAGAGTGTACATGAGAGAGTGAAAGATTGAGAGTGAGTGTGATGCTGAGTGTGAAAGTGAGTGAGAGTTTGAGTGAGACAGTGAGTGTGAGTAGATAGGGAGTGTGAGACGAGAGTGAGTATGCAAGTGAGTGGGGGAGATAATGTGAGTGAGAAAGTGTGAGAATGCATGAGATTGAGATAGTGTGAAGGTGAGTATCAGAGTTAGTGAGTGAGCATGAGTGATTGAGACTAAATGGGAGTCAGTTTGAGAGTTAGTGTGAGATTCAGTGTGTGAGGGGATGTGAGTGTGAGAGTGAGTGTGAAAGTGTGAGATTGATGTTGTGAGAGTGCATGGGAGAGTGAGAGAGTTGGTGTCAGAGTGAATGTGTGTGAACGTGAGTGAGAGAGTTACAGTGAGTGTGATAGTGAGTGAGTGCGAATGAGACAGATTGATTGAGTGAGAATGAAAGAGTGAGTGTGAGTGAGTGTGAATGAATGTGAGAATAAGTGAGTGGGGGATTTAATGAGAGTGAGTGGGAGAGTAATAAAGCGAGTGAGAGAGTGAGTGCGAGTTAGTGAGTGTGAAAGTGAATGCATGTAAGAGTTATTGAGCGGGAGAGTAAGAGTGTGAGAGTGAGATAGAGTGAGAGAATGAGTTGGAGAGTGCGAGATAGTGTATGTGAGTGAGATTCAGTGAGAGAGTGTAAGTGAGATAGTGTGAATGAGTTTAAGAGTTAGTGTCGAAGTGAATGTGAGAGAGAGTAAGCAGGAGAGCAAAAGTGCATGTGAGAGTGCATGTGAGTGAGCGAGTGAGACAATGAGTATGAGTAAGATAGTGAATGTGAGCGTGAGATTGAATGCTTGTGAGTTATTGAGTGGGAACGTAAGAGAGTGAGTGTGATAGTGAATTAGTGTGAGAGTGAGAGTGCATGTGAGAATGAGTAAATTAGTGAATGTGACAGTATGTGAGAGTGATACAGTATGAGACAGAGTTTGAGAGTGAAACAGCGAGTCTGAAAGTGTGTGAGTGAGCGTGAATCTCACTGTGCACCCTCCTCCTCGTCTCCACTCCCCGTAAAGAATAGCAACAAGAGCTCGGCTCTTTGTGCTGCTAGTGCTGCTACCTTCTCTGCACGTCTCACTACACTGGAGTCACGTGTGCAGTGACCTCACTCACCTCCACGGCTATGGCCACGCCCCTGTGTCTCTGTTGCGTCAGACCCTCAGACCCCTCCCACTCAACGAGTGGCCACGTGTCCCCCCAACCATTCGTGGTGTAACTGGTGAGTGAGACTTGAGTGAAAAAGTTTGTGAATGTGATTGTCAGAGTGAGTGGGAGAGTGAGTATCAGTGAGAGTGAGTGTGTGTAAGAGTTAGTGAGTGTTATATTGAACAGTGTGCGTGAGAGATCGAGAGTGAGTGTGATGTTGAGTGTGAAAGTGAATCAGAGATTGAGTGAGACAGTGAGTGTGAGTAGATAGTGAGTGTGAGAATGAGAGTGAGACTGTGAGTATGCGAGTGAGTGGGAGAGATAATGTGAGTGAGTGTGAGAGTGAGTGAAAGAGTGATTTAGGGAGAGATTGAGTATGAGAGTGAATGTGGTGGTGAGGGTGAAAGTGGGAGAGATAATGTGAGGGACAGAGTGAGACAGTGAACGTGAGAATGAAATGTAGAGTGTGAAAGTGCATGTGACAGAGTAGGAAATTGCATAAAGTTGAAAAGAGGGGGGGTTGAGATGAGGGACAACCAGGAGAGTTCCGTTCACGAGTTCTGTGTGGAGGGTTTGGGAATCTGTAGTGCAGTGACGTGAGGTGAGGTCAATGGCTGGTGAGGCACTGGCTAGTGTCAGGGCCTGATTCAGACACTGAGGGGGGCATGGCCTTACGGAGGGGGCGTGGCCTCACTGAGCGGGCGTGTCCTTACTGAGGGGGGCGTGTTAGATACGTCCCCGTCACTGAGGCAGATGTGATAGCTGCCTACCCTGGTGCTTTTTCATTGCAGTTTCATGACGAGACCAGCGAGCCTAGATATCTTCATACATATACGTGAAATAAGTTACATGAAGGCGAGAACATGAAATGAAGGGGTCTACAACCATTACATTGGTGACATACTGAGATTGTAACAGGCACGCGCTTATTGTCCGAGCTCAATCCAGTTACTGAGGGGTTGCGCAATCAGAGGGGAGGCTGAGCTCGTCGCTGCCTCACCTCTCGTCTCTTCTTGTATTTGCAGTGGAGCTTCGCAAATTTGGAGATTTTTTTATTTTACTAGATTATTCTATTTTTTTTTACTTTTCGAAACCGCTATTTGCATTGGCGTATGACAGGTGAGGCTCTGCCTCGCTGCCTTCCCTGACCGCACGTCCCTGCTGTAGAGAGGGTTTGGGGCATCTGTCTTGGGGGTTCCGTGTGGTGGGTTTGGGGGTTCTGTATTGGGGTTTTGGGGGTTTTGTGTGTGGGGTTTGTGTGTGGGGTTTGGGGGTTTTGTGTGCGAGTTTGAGGTTCCACTCACAAGGGAACAGGGTGTGATTATACAAACTCTCACATAGAGACTAATAGACTCATAAAGAGACTCACCGACTCGCACGAATCCCATAGAGATTCACGACTGTGTGGTGGACACTCTGGTCAGTGGTTCTGCAATGGCACGCTTAGATGTCGACCAATCTCCACTGTGATGGTGGCAGTGAGTGGCTCTGCCACGAGGTG